TGTGTGTGTGTGTGTGTGTGTTTCTGTGTAATACATATTGTGAGACCTGGCAGTGTCTGTCTGGCTTCTTCGAAACTTTTATTCCACTTTGTGAAAGAAACGTATATCACTTATCTGTGAATATCAATTAAAGATTGATTTCTTAATTTAAAGGCTGAATCTGCAGAAGAGTCCAAAGAACAGGGACAATGTTGATAAGACATTTGTCCTCATCACACCTGCACAGCAAACTGCACAAACATTTCTCTGTTTTGAGTCTGTTTCCCTTTTCAAACACAATGCTGGGACTGTGTTGTCTAATGTGTGATGTATTTAATCAACTTTTCCATGATATTTATACTTAAAGTGTGTATGGATGTTGTGTATGGATGTTGTGTATGGATGTTGTGTATGGATGTTGTGTATGAGAAGCGGATCTAATTGTTTAACAGGGACAAACATGATTTACCATGTGCACTTTAAATCCAACATGTAAATGTTTCAGATTAAACCATGCAGCTGATGGTAAAATACAAAAGTAAGTAAATACACTTATTCACTGTGTGACACATAGAAAGACAAAAGCACATATCAGGTGGAAGACACACACAAACTATAAATGATGATTCAAAGTTTAATTAAAATTACTGGAAACTTTTTTGTTTTAGCAGCAGAAAATATACAAGCTGTTGCTCATGTCTCAGATCCTTTACCTCAATTTTAACTCCAACCAATCTCTGTTAGTGGGCGTATATGAAGCCATTTGTAATTCAGAGGGACCGCTCTACACTCTCTCTCTCTCTCACACACACACACACATGTATGCACACACCTCCTTTAAACTTTGCCCCAGCCTTGTCTGTCCCCTCCTGAATTACCCGTTAACCAATAATTCTTCTTTTTCACTCGTCTCTCTGTAAGCCCCCTTTCCTGCTGCTGTATTCTCCCAAATCACTTCATTCACCCACACACACACTCACACACACACACACTGAGGGAAGCCGCCCCTCACCCTCTCTCCCAGGCTGATTCCAGTCCATTCCCGTTGAGCTGCATTAGCATACAGATGTTCCACTGAAAAGGGAAAGCAGGGAAACACAAAGGGCCTGCATGACCAGGAGGGGAGGGAGGGGTCGAGGGGCTGCAAAGGGATGGCCCTTGGCCTTTTTAAGGTCTTACGCACACACACACACACACACACACACACACACACACACACAC